TCTCTCTCTCTCTTCCTCTCTCTCTCTCTCTCCTTCTTTGCTTTTAAATTCATGGCCTCTTTTTTCATTAATAATTACTATATACATATATATTTCTAAATAAACAAATGCAACCTGAACACGATCAGTCTGTATGTTACTTGTGCATGTGTTTTCAGGACTGACCTATAAGAATAATTTTATCTATCGTATTTTCCTAGATCTTCCTAGAACACCTGACAGTATTTATTTATTATAGTAAGAAATAGTACACATGTGATATGTGTTTGTTTAAATGAAAGTTTAGTTGATTCGCATTTAGAAAAATAGATGTAGTAAGAAACCCTGGTGGGGGCGGGGGAGAGACAGGGAGATCATCATGCAGTTAGAAAATCCAAAGAAACATTTTCATAGCAGTCTTGAGCAGATTGGAATACTTCTGCCTCCCCAAATTATTTTATTAAAATAGTCATTTAGTAAGTGATTGTTTATGACATAAAAGACAGATATAATTAAATCAGATAAAGAGAAGGCTTATCTGTGAATCTAGGTGATATTCTCTCTCTGACACTCTCTATCTACCTACGCTACTTAGTGACAAATTGTGTCACTGACCATTGAGAAGTAAGGTATTTATCAAGAAGTTATGTGATACCTAAGTCTCAATGTTAGAGCAGAGATCACTATACCTCTCCCCTACCAAGTCTCACATAGATAGGATACAACATCCAGTTTTCCAAAAGACAGAGTATATTAGAAACAGGAATACCAGAATCAGTATTTCAGAAGTGAGCTACAAGAAGACTCAGAGGCCATCTGGTCCAAAGCTCAATTTAGTGTTGAAGGAAGCCAGTCTCAGACAGCTTAAATCACTGGCTGTGGGTCACACACCTCCCTTAGCTCTGGGGGGTAAGAATGGGCACTCCACCCACACCTCCGCCCCGGTCTATTGGGCTTTATTGGCTTTGTTGGACAGAAGAGGTGGGACAGGTGACGTTCAAGGACAAGTTAATTTGAAAAACAGAATAGCAGACATTTGTCATGTAAAAGAACTTAAAGTAGAAAAAGTGATTCATACAGATAGAGAAGTTAAAAATACAGAATTAAGGCGCCCGACACATCATGTGCACACTGTCATCTCTTCTCACGAAAGGAGAAAAGAAAAGGGAAAAAAGTTGCTTTGCTCTGACCTGTAAGGAGTATGTGCTGAGAAGTGTGGCAGGCATAAACCCGGGTGCCATAGACACTCACTCACACCAGCTCTCAGTGCTGGCAGCGTGCCACAGATGGCAGAAGCTCCGGCACTTCTTACCTGATGGCGCCGGGTGGTGGTGACAACTGAGAGGGCTGTTTCTAGCTTGAATTGGAGAAAAAACAATTTTAAAAGCACACTCTTAGAATATGTTTAAGTTATTGACCACTAAGAAAGATGCTCATAAAACCCCATAGAAAACATAACTTGGTTCTTTTATTACCCAGAGAACAGTTGTAAATCCAAGAGTGCTTCCACCTTCCACTATTTCATTGATGTGTATTAAAGGCCAAAGTTAACAGTGAATAGTATGTTGATTCTTCTAGTTCAGGGTCTCAGACGCTGGCTGTATGTTGTTCTTTATGCCATAAATGGGGGTGGGTTTGCAGAGAGACCTTGAGTGCATAGGACTTTGCCAGGCCCCTGGAGTACTAGAGGAAGAAGAGTGTTACCCTTCTGGAAGTACCCACTTTCCTTCTAAGCTCCATCCATTTGGCACTACATTCAAATTCTCCCTCCATGAAGACTTCCAAGTACAAACTGGTGAAAATATTGCAGATAACTCAACGAAAATGGTAGTCACATTATCAACGTAATTGTCATTGAAGTTAAGTGGAAGATGAAACTAAACAGGCTTCTGGGGTGTGTGTAGTCAGAGGCTTTCCCTGTGAACACAGCACAGGTGTGTGGAGAGCAGGGCATCCAGGCTAGGAAGTATGTGTCTGCCCTCCCTACCAAGACATCTTCCTTCCCATAGATCAAGGTCCAGTCCAGGAACAAAGGAAAAGCCCTTTCCAGCAGCACCTTCTCTGTCGTGGCTAGTCTTACGCTACCTTAGTGTGGAGCATGGCTGGCATTTTCACCAACTGTCAATTAATTCATTTGCCCAGATGAGGGCCGTGTATTAATCTTGCATGCTTTTAGAACCGTTTGGAAATATCTGTTTTTTGTTTCTCGGTGTCTGTTTTTGAATTTCCCCCTCTCTGCAGTTCTTAATTTCTAGTTCACAGAGCGCAGAGGATTTAATTGCTGCTGTGTCTCTGTGTTACAGCATGAGAGAGCAATGCCTAAGAACTCTTGTATTTCTTTGGGGTTGATGGGTTTTGTGTCTGAAGAAAACAAATCTCACAGTAACCAAGCTGGATTATATTGGTAAATTTCTCCCCTTTTTTCTCCTCCCCCTTTAGCACTGAAAGCCGAAAAGAGAAGAAAGCTGACTCAGGGAAAGGTGTTGACAGGGAGACTTGTCTATGACTTGATCTTCAATTTATTTTTTACATATATATATGAGAAGAGTGTCACAATTATTAATAAAACTGCTTTGATCATGTATTGTAAATCCTGTCTCCTATCCCAAATCCACCTCCACACTGTAAGTAGTGCAACGCTTCCTCCATTTCTGTGTTTAACCTCCTCTGAGCAGTGTGACCCCCTCGTGAGCAGATACAGTAGCTAAGGCAAGAGTCCCCCAAGTCATTACTGTGAGACATCCGCCAACACAGCGTTCTCAGTGTCAGCATCATGAGAGCAACGTGTTCTTTAAACAAAAAGGGGTATTTACCTAGTTTGTATTTCCTACCTTAGCAACCGGAAGATACCTGATAATTTTATTCAGAAGACTTTTGGAAAGGTAGTCTTACTTTTAACTTTTTTATGCCTTAGCATTAGTGACTTGTTCTTAAAGACCCCAATCAAAAGGTTACTTTGAAAACATTTGTAACACTTGTTATTTATGTATTTCCTGACTTCATAGGATGCATTTAATACTTACTAGCTAACTGATACTTCAAGTTATTTGAGAAAGAAACCTGTTCATACCTTCTTAGAAGTCATACTGCAGGAGAGTCCTATAGTGTTTGCTTAGAATTGTGTTTTACCCACGTGGTCAAGTGTACTAGGCGTCCATGAAATGCTTAGAGAGATGGAAGAGTTTTGTGAGATTTTTTTCTTTTTAAGTCTTTACCAGAAAAGTGTTACTGAATTTCTCTCCCATTGTCAATAGTTGCTTCCCAAATACACCTATGACATAGATACTTATGGAATGCCACACAGTGAATCATCACATAGGAAATACATCCCTACACAGCTGTTCTGCTGGTAACGGGCCATGTTCTGCTTAGAATTGTTCCCTGTCACGTTGTCATGTTAGACCAACAGGTATCCAGCTGTAACTGGTTTTGCAAGTTCTTTTCCACATTTTAATTAAATGCATGTTATGGGGAAACAATCTTTGAACTAAAATTCAGATTCTGTTAGAGAGGGTGATGTAAATATTTCAGTCCATATGAAACAATCCAACTTTACTAAGCTTATTAAAATAGGAAGGAAGTTATGGATTTTTGAGTATGACTAAATATAAGATTCATTTAATTTTAGATAAATGTGAGTTGCTAAAAATGAAATCTCAGAGGATTCTTAGTTCCTAAGGACTATCAATAATTCACAACCTTATAATCTTTCAATGTCCAAATTTAGAAAAACTCAGAGGCCTGTGGCTTTTGTAAACCTTATGCACTCCATGGAAATGCACATAATTGGCAAACTCCTCTATTAGGAAGCTCATGAAGGTGGAAAAAAAAGCAGGCCTACATTAACCATAGCATTTTGATATCTTTTGAAAAAGAAATTTCTCACAATCTTTTCAGGATCCATTTTTTTAATGAAATACGAGCTAAATTAAGAGAAGACTTTGCAGTTAGTAAAGTTTGTATTTATAAACAGTGAAGACAAATGTGAAACTATCTGCTGCACACGTGTGTGCTCTGACCACTCTCCATGAACATCCTCACTGTTTTTCGATCCCCTAGGGCTCCACATAGCAGCCCCTGCTCTGTTAAAAAACAATCAGTGAGTTAAAACCTTCATATGATCACTGGTTTGAACAAGCAATCATCCTATGAAATTCTGTATTTCTGAGTATTTTTATAGTAATTTTGTTCTTCTGTGAATTTTAATGCTATCTCTATCTTAATCTTAATATTTTGAAATTATATAAGATATAAGAAAATGTAGTATTATATATATTTACTCCTAATTTCAGAATCCTGGTCAAAATTATTGAATATCTTGAATGTAATTTATTGCAATGTTTAAGTAATGTGTAAATGTGACTAGGATATTGTGTTTTTCAAAACTAAGAAATGTTATGTGGAAATAAATATTTATCCTAACTAATTTTCATGCTTATTTTAAAGTGTGTGCAATGTGTCCTGTCTTTACTTTTCCTTCATATTAGCCAATAAATCAGGTAAAGTATTATAATGGTCTAAGCATATTTAAATTAAGACAATCCCACTGTTAAAAATCATTTGTGACCTAAACACAATTCAAACAACTTGGACTTTATGAACAGAAGAGAATGGGAAGTTTGTAAGGTTACACATGCTCCTTTCCCCACAGAACAAGGCATGGGTGATGTTATTATCTATGGCAAGTGAGAAGCTCCTTAGTAGAATCACACTAGATCACACTAGTAGAACTCATGAATGCCTGCTTTTACCTGTGTGGAGAAGGCATTCCTCACATGTACCCTTTAAGTCTGCTGTAGAGGTCAAATGTAACCTCAGTTCTTCTGTGGCCATCAGCAGATTGTTGGGAAGACTGTATTCAGAACTCTGCCTGCTGGAGAATACCTCTTGACTAGTAGGCTTCCTTGTAATTGCCCCTACTTAGCAGCATCCATGTTTCTTTCTAAATATCTTCTTGGAGTGATTCAGACTCCTACCTGCAGACATCCAGTTTGACCACCATTTGTTGAAGATGTCTTTTTCTAGTGTGTATGTCCATAGGTGTGTAGATTTATGTCTGGTTTTCAGTCTGATCCTATTGATCAAAATGTCTGTTTTTTTGCCATTACCCTGCTGGTTTTAGTACTGTAGCTCTGTAGTACCACTTGAAATTGGGAGTGGTGAGATCTCCAGCAGTTATTTTATTGTTCAGGGTTGTTCTAGCTATGGGGGGTAGCTCAAACTCAGAGTCTGATAGAGACACTTCAGTGATGACTTCGGATTTTTTAGGGTTCTCTTAGGTCTTAGGAGTGAAGACTGACTCTGTTTCCCTTCTCCACTGCCCTCTCTGTTTCTGTCCAGCTAGAGCCCATTTTATCCTGAATCCTTTCCTGTCATTGACAGACTGATTTCTAACTTTTCAATATGTCTATCTTGTATATCCAGTAAGGAAATACAATAAAATACCATCTGAGTAGCAATCATCTATAAAATCAGCACTTGGGAGGCAGGTACAGTCATTTTAGAAATGAAATAGCAACCTTCTGAAAGTTTTATGAAAGTCGTATAGTTTCCAGTTATTTTGAGAGGATGGTTGTGGTTAATAATCAGAAATGACTTCTGATTCTTTCCTGGGCATATTTAGATGCTCTGCTTCTCTTTAGCCCTAATGGCCTCATTTCTTCTTATTGTGGACTGAGCTTATATCCATGTCCACTTCCTTTTTTATGTGGAGTCATACATTTCTGCCTGACAACCTCATTCCTCCATTTGTTAATAAGCCCCTTGATGGTAATGGTGTCTTAACCGTCCCTGTTAACTCTGTAGGGTCTAATTCTTTTCTCTGATATTTACCAATCAGCAGAAGTTGTTCCAGAAGCATAAGTAAAACGTTTCAGAAAATGCTGTTGTTCAGTTAAGAATCATGAAAATAGAGAAACCAGCACTGCATACTGGATATGACATAGATCTAGCACATGAGAACATGGAAGTTTAAGACCAGAATCTATGCAATATATTGCTGCCTCAAAGGTAGGAAAAACAGCAAAATACTGCAGCTAGGAGGAAAGAAACTGGAAAGAAGATGTTAGGCACTACTTGTATGTAAATCTCAGCCAAACAGCAGTTCTGATATAGGAAGTTTTTACTCTTTTAGGGCTCAAGTGGAGTTGAATTCAGAGAGGCTGAATAATGTCTCTAAAATGCTACATTTGTCACAACTGCTGATCATCTTACCCTGCGTGTCTGGTTTCAGCTGAAGGCCACTATATCTCAAGTATGAGGTGAGAAAGGGTTTTGCTCATCCCTATAGGGTGTTCGCTTAGAACCAGAATCAGATTGAGTACCATTTCTTCTCAATATACTGTAGTTTCTTCATCACTTATTTCTCTGTGATAACAATGGAACCAAAACTCATCGGTGAAATCCATTTTGTTGCTCACAAATCACAAAATGATGATTTTGTATGGAAGTAACTTACAGAGGCCCACCCCTCCACATGTCTTGCATCTGAGGATTCAAACAATCCCTGATCAAAATACTTCTACAAGTATGTCTGCATCAACATGTATTTTCTTTTCCTCTTACCGTTTCTTTCACTATGATACATAGCATTTTCTTACGTTGTCCTGGATATTATAAGAATCTGGAGGTAATTTGAAGTATTAAGGAAGACAAGCTTCAATTTCCTTATAGTATATGCCACTTTGCAAGATCTTTGAATTTGGGGTACCTATATCCACAGGGGCATCTAGAACCCATCCCCTGTAGACGCAGAGAGATGGGGATAAGAATTTTGGTTGTTGAACAGTCACAGTATTGAATATTGAATATTCCCACTGTCATAATGGATGCTTTTTAAGGAATTTGGCAATCTTGGAGAATTGATTCAGAAAGACCATGTAGAATAAAGATTTCTGCTTAAGTTATTGACAGTTGTAGCCTTTACCAATGGTTTTCCACCTAGGGTCATGACCCTTATGGGGGTTGAATGACCCTTTCACAAGGGTAACCTAAGATTATCAGAAAACACAGATATTTGCATTGTGGTTCATAATAGTAGCAAATTAAAGTTATGAAGCAGGAACAAATATAATTTTATGGTTTGGAGTCACCAAAACATGAAGAACTGTATAAAAGTGTCACAGCATTAGGGAGGCTGAGAACCACTACTTTGTATGGATTGAAAGATACCCTCCCTTCTCAATAGCCATAAAAATATTTTCTTCCTAGTAACTCAAATTCTTGGACTTAAATGTTAATATTGTCAGAGAAATATGACATGCAGAGAGACGCTCAAATGCTACTGAGCTTCACAGTGGTCTTGGTAATACCAGACTCTGCGATTTTTATGGGGTAGCCCGTGATGCTATGCTTTATAAGCCCCATTTGTGTTTCATTCTCAGCCATCTGTATCCCCAAAAACATCCTGAATCTATGCTTCAGGTCACTCAGGACGTATGTGAAAATACTGCTGAAATAATGTCATAAAGTTGGCACAGCAGAATTATCTTATTTTAGGAAAAAATGCTTGTGTTTTGGTATGTTTTTTCACTTAGAATTTATTGAATCTTAAATATTGTACAAATCTAGTAGTCTTATAAGTCAGTATTCT